AGGCTTCTGTCACCTGGAAGCCACTGACAGGGGTCAGTGGGACTGCCTCCGCTGTGGGGCAAAGGGACAGGCATTAGGGGCAAGGGTGCCCAGTGCCAACCTGGAATGCTGTCACCTGCCCCAGCACTCACGGGTGGTGACGACAATGGAGACGGGGTTGCCCTCTCGGTTGCCAATGAGTGCCGTCACCTTCACAGTGTAGGAGACACCTCCCTCCAGGTCGGGGATGTCAAAGGAGTTGGTGTGTCCAGGAACTCGCTGGCTATTCTCCGAGCCCCCTGTCGAAGACTGCGGCATCAGCCCACCCACCCTGTCACACTCACAGCCCAGCCCCATCCTCATCCCACATTACCATCCCTACGGCTCCACACCACGCGGTAGGCAGTGGCTCCTGGCACACCGACCCAGGTGACACGGGCAACGTTGCTCCTGGATGCCTGGACCTCCAGCTGGGTCACTGTCCCCACCTGCTCAGGTGCTGTGACACCAAGGGGGTCACTGTCACCAGGGTTCACAGCAAGTGGCAGCAGACAGCACTGACGGGCAGGAGGACACCTCACCTATCCGTCCCGTGGCAGTGACAGGGCTGCCCTCGCGGCCATCCATGATGGCCGAGACACTGACTGTGTAGACGATGCCAGCACGCAGCCCCTCAATGGTGAAGGTGGTGGGGTCAGCAGGGAGGAAGCGGGATTGCTTCAGACCTAACACAAATGGCTGGGATAGGAAGGGCTCCGCCAGTACCACCACAGCATCTCACAGTCCACACACTCACCGTCACTGCCTCGCCACGTCAGCAGGTAGCCCCCAGCGCCTGGTAGCCCTCGCCAGGTGACCCGCAGCTGGCTGGGACCGGCCTCTGTCACCCGCAGCTCCGAGATGCTGCCCACAGCTGGGTACTCTGCACCCCCCCATGGCACCACAGCGTCACCTTGGGGAATCCAGAGGGACCCCAGAGCCACCCTGCCACCTCAAGGGGTTGCAGGGGGACAGAGGACAAATGCATGCTGGAGTGGGAAAATCCAGGACCAGCAATCCTGGTGCCGGATGTGGACTTACTGAGGCGGACGGGGAGCGTGGCAGCACTGCCCTCCCGGCTGCCTGCCAGCGCCGAGACACGCACCAGGTAGGTGATGCCCTCCCGGAGGTCACCCAGCTCCAGCCCCGTCTGGCTGCCTGGGATGCGCCTCGTCCTCTCCGTGCCATCTACCGGGAGCGGGGCAGTGCGGACCCTCAGTGTCAGCTGGTCAGGGTCCCCCAGGTGCCACCCCTGCCCCTGCCCACAGACTCACCCTGGTTGTTGCGCACCACCACTTTGTACTCGGTGGCACCAGGGACGTTGGTCCAGCTCAGCCGCACCCACCTGCCCGATTCCTCAACAAGCCGCAGGTCTGACACAGCGCCCACGGGCCCCTCCACACCTGCGAGGGGACGCGTGAGGCACAGCTGGAGCTGCACAGCCTGGACAGCACAGCCCCTCATAGTCATCCTGGGCCATGACCAGGCAGCTGAGGGGTCTTGTGGCCAAGGGGATCCCCAAGCTGAGCAATGCCACGTGGGGGACAACCCAGGGGACCTACAGCAGTCACTCACCTGTCTGGAAGGTGGTGACGGGGGTGGCCACCTCCCCACCATCATAGAGCGTGTAGAGGGTGATGCGGTACTCGGTGCCTGGCTTCAGCCCAGTCAGCTGGTAAGTATTGGTGCTGCTGGGGAGAGACACTGTTCTGGGGGGCTCTGGTCCTGTGGGGAGGAAAGGGTCACTGCCAGCTGCTGGAACGGAGGGTCCTCAGGGGCAACGGGCACCCTGAGCCCACCTGTGGCTCTCTTCCACTCTAGACGGTAGCCACGGGCATCACGGGCACTGGTCCAGAGCACCTGGATGGATGTGGGACCCAGGATGTTGGTCTGCAGCGTCTGGTCTGTACCTGCCTCTGCAAGAGGAACCCCATGGGCCAGGCTACCCTGTGCCACTCTGCAGCCAGCCACAATGCCAGCAGGTCTCCAGTCCCCGCACAAAGCAGGGTAGGCAGCATGTGGGACAATGGCAGACAGTTCTGGCCTCATCCCAGGGCAGAGTACAGGCCAGCAGAAGGATGGCATCACCTGTACCCAACACCTACCTGTCCTCTGCCGCACAGTGGCTGTGGGCCCCTCCAGTTCCCTGAAGAGTGGGGCCACTGTCACCACATAGTCGGTGTTGGGCTGCAGCCCCACCAGAGCGTGTGACGTTCGACCAGCATCCAGGTCCACCCTGTGCTTGTCCTGCCCTGTGGGAGCCAGTGCAGCAGTCCCTTGGGGGCTTTGGGCAGCAGGTGCCACCAGCCCCCTCCTCTCCCTCCTCCTAGGGGCCACAAGCTCTGGGACAGGCACCTACCTGCGAGGGTTGCCCAGGAGAGCCGGTAGCCGGTGGCACCACTGACAGGCTGCCAGGCCAGCAGCATGCTCTGTGCTGAGATGTTGTGGACAGCCAAGTGCTGCACACCCACTGGATGTCCTGCAGGAAGAGAGGTGCCTGTCCATCCCCCACATGAGAGGGGCAGGGTGAATCACCTTCGTCTGCAAACTGCCTGCTCCAGGGGCAAGAAGCCCCTCTTGCCCCTGCTGACGGATGCTGAATTGCACTGAGGTCACTGAGTACAGCTCGTGCCCAGGCGGCTCCTTCAAAGCACGAGACTCCTGCAAAGTGGAGCTCAAAGCCTTCCTCTTAATGCCTTAAATACTTTCTATGGGTTAAGACTGCCTGGGGCAGCTGAAGGAATCGGTTTGCCAAAATTTGAGGCTTGTAAAGGTGTTGCCCCGGGGGCCTCACCCTCACTTCTACTCACTTTCCACCACTCTCTTTCCTGGTGGAAACCACATTTTCCTCCTGCAGAGCACCACACTCAAATTAAAAAAAAAAAACACCACTGCATTTTTTCAGTCAGAATTTTTTACGTCATGCGAGGAAAGCTCTGGTCGACACACTCCCAGAAGGCAGCAAAGGAAATTGGAAGCGCACAGCGCTGCACCCTGCCCTGGGACCAACTTTTGGGGCTCAGAGCATCACCTTGTAGTCATGCTTACCTCCATCCCACCCCTACAGGCAGCAGTGGGCCTGGCAGCCCCATCCCAACGAGGCACAGTGACTGGAGGGACTGTGCTGGGAACCCATCCCTAACCCTGGCTGAGCCCAGGGCCAGGCAGTGCTTACGTGTCCGGGCGGTGAGGGTGGCAGGGACAGCAGGCTGCTGTGCGTAACGGGGTCGGAGCATCACCACGTATTCCGTGTCGGGGCGCAGGTTGCTGAGTGTGGCTGATTGTGCACTGGCCCCCAGGCTCTTCTCCTCCCCCTGGGTTTCTCCTGAAAGGACAGCAGAGGAGTGTGGGTGGGCACAAGGACATGGAACACACCAGGCCCGGCAGGGAAGGGGTGTTTACAGGCTGGCATCCTGCCCTGAGGATGCCAGTTGTTGCCAGGGGTGGGGAGTACCGGGAGAGGCTGGGACATGGGCCAGAGCAGGGGCACCCCTTGGATCACCCAGGGCCAGGGTGGGGCTGCCAGGTGTGCAGCTTCAGCCCAGCCCCTGGCTGGGATAGGGGTCTGCTGCCTGCCCCCCCCCATGCAGCAGTCATAGGGGTAGATATGTGCCTGTGCTCCCAGCCCTGAGTTGGGGTGCACATATCAGGCCCCTGGCCATCATGCACACCCAAGCACACACCCTGAGCCTTGTGCATGAAGCCTCCAGGAGTACACAGGCTGCCTCCACAGCCCTGCACACACGTGTGCCCCACAGCCCACGCACGTGTGCTGGCTGCTGCAGCAAAGGCAGGCGTGCACACACCCGCAGCACTCTGGGCATGCATCCCTGCATCAACCCCCATCCATGTACTCCCCGTGCCCATGGGGCTGCTGCGCAAAGGTAGAGCATCCAGGCAGCACCGACCCTCGTAGGACCATCCCCTCACCTTGCACAGTGTAGCTGAGGCTGTAGCCCTGGGGGAGCTCAGGGCCAGGCTGCCAGG